CGAGAATCATGTGAAACACATAACTTATGGGCAAAATACACTGCGGCCACTTCTGGCCTATTGTACCAGCCCCAGATGATAGGAGAGGGTGATTGAGGATCAATTGGTGGAATGAGGATTGGCAGGGGAAACCGAAGTACTCGGAGAAAACCTGCCCCAGCACCACTTTGTCCACCACAAATCCCACTTGACCAGACCCGGGATCGAACACGGGCCGCCGCGGTGGGAAGCCAGTGACTAACCGCTTGAGCTATGGCGCGGGCCTGGTACATATAGTTACCACTGTACTTTAAATTTTAACAGAAAAATCATATTCCAAATGTGGCACTCCATATCTACATAAAAGAAAACGTTTGTTCGGCTAACATTATTTGTGCTACATCTTTTCACAATGTTATTACTCTATTTTACTTTCACATTTGGCCAGTCAGTAGAGATTTCTGGAAAATGGCCATAATTATTTTGTAAATTATATGTGAACATTCAGGTATAAGCAAAATGTGTTATGACGAATACAGTGGGTGAGTCAAACAATGGTACTTCATTTAACTACGGAGAAAAAGGACATAAATCAACACGAAGCAGAGCCATATGTGATTTAGAAAATGGGATTTTGTTTTAAAAGCTTGCTTTGCATCTCTCTCCCTTTTTTTTTTTTTTCAAATTCGCTTAGTGGGGGTGGAGTCCAACTGGGTCCACTCGGCAAGGCGGCCACTTATTGACCTATTGTACCTGTCCCGGGTGATTATGATGATGGAGAATTTGATGGAATGAAGATTGGCAGGGGAAACCGAAGTACTCAGAGAAAACCCGCCCCAGCGCCACTTTGTCCACCACAAATCCTACTTGACCAGACCCGGGACCGAACCCGGGCCGCCGCAGTGGGAAGCCAGCGACTAACCGCTTGAGCTATGACGCGGCCTATCTCTCTCACTTAGTGGCATTCTACTTAATCGTGTTAACGAGTTTCATGCTGTTGGAATATCCAGCAGAGATCCGTGTTACGCTTATGACATTTACTGACGTAAAAACTGAAGCGTGAATTACTAATTGAAACAAAGAAGTAATTAAAAGTGTAAAAAGAATTGTTGTAAATCCGCAAAATCTTTTTAAAATTTATATATGAATGTTCGATCTGTAAGAATAATCTTCTGTGCAGCTGGCAGCTTAATTTGTGTGCGCCTTCTTTCTTCTTACCAATTTTCTACACTATTCCAATTATTCCCTCAAATTTTATTGCATTCTTAATAAAGGCGACTGAAAAATTCAATAATTTTACTAGCATTATTCGAGAGATAAACATTGGAATTTATTACGTAAACTGCCACTCATTATATTACAATTAAATGATACCATACGTAAATTAATAAAAAACACTGGACTTGCGGCAAACAAAATATACCACATCTCAGGCTTTGGTTGCAGGTTCTAAAATTTCCGCCGGTAAGTGGATCTACCAGCCGATCACAGTGGCCGTGTGGTCTAAAGCATGAACTGTCCTCGCTCTCTCAAACGCTGGGATCATGGGTTCGAATCCACATTCGAAGTATTGATGTCTTATGTACGTTTAGTCTGTGTTTTTGTTGCCCTGTTTGTAGGTAGCGGTCATTTGACGGCCTGATCCCCCGTCTAAGGAGTCATACCGTCTGTGTAAAAATGATTACGAAACTGAAGAAGAGACCAGGACCCAACAAAGGGCTGTAGGGCCATTAATGAATGAACGAAAGAAAGAAAAGTGGATCTACCAACAGCAGCCTTTCGTGCTAATGCTCTCTGAAACTTGTACTATGAATTACTTTCTACAGTACTGTGACTGGATTGTGAACCCAAGAAGTGAGGTCCTAGTAATACAGGGTGGGGCCCAGAAACTTCCTTTTTGTGAAGACGCATTGTGAAGGGAGGGGAGGTCGCAGAAAAGTGGGGATAAGCTCGGCGAACGCAGCAGTCGCGGAAGTTTCTGTCTAATACCCCTCAGTAGGAAACATGAGGTGGACAAGTGAGCAGCGTGCGTTTGCTGTCGAAGCCTATTTTTCGAACAACCATTCCTACGTGGCGGTGCAGCGTGCGTTCCGTACTCACCTCGGAATTAAGCCCAGAGGTCCGGTTCCCGACCGGAAATCGATTGTTTTATGGGTAGAGAACTTTAGGGCAACTGGGAGTGTGGTGAAAAAATCATCAGGATGACAACGGACCGTTACGACGCCAGAAAATGTGGAGGCAGTTCGACAGTCGATTTTAAGATATTTTTCGAACCAGCTCTTGAAGAAATGCATCTAGGAAATGTCTGGTTCCAACAGGATGGTGCCACGGCCCACACAGCCCGAGCTTCGATGACAGTTTTGAGGGCAAAATTCCCTGGACGGCTCATCTCGCTTCGAGGTGACATCCCGTGGGCAGCGCACTCACCTGATCTAACGCCCTGTGATTTTTTATGGGGATACCTCAAGGCAGAGGTTTTTAAACATAGCCCTACAAACCTGCTTCAGCGGAAGAATGTTATTCGGCAGAAAGTAGCCCAAATTCCGGTGCACATGTTGGAACGTGCAGAGGGGAACTTCAGAAAACGGTTGCATCAGTGCATAGAGAACGGTGGCCACCACCTTCAAGATATTTTGTTTAAAACTACATGATTTAAAACTTTAAAGTATGTTCTTTCATTGGCTAAACATAAATTTTGTCTATCAACAATAATTTTTCTTTTATTCGCCTTCAAAAAAGGAAGTTTCTGCGCCCCATTCTGTACATATTAATTCAGCGTCACAGCCACTTTATAATATGCCTGATTTTTATACACTCTGTGAGAAACGTTTCAGATAATCATTGACAACAAATCTCGCTTTCCAGTAGGTTTGCAGCAAGATGTTCTTAATCTGAAATGCTGTAGCAGACCAGTGGTACGGCGTCTGTTGTTGGTTGCTATGCCAACACTATACAACTGTAAATGTAAACAATGCGAGGCTCTTTTTGATACGAATAATGTAAAGTGGAAGTTGTAATGTAATAATGCAATGTAACACAGAGGCTAGATTTACATTAAATTACGTATCATACTTAGAATATTCAGTTTTTCTCTTTGAATAAGTGGCTGTCATACCCCATGTTTCCTAAACACAATTTCCCAACACGTGGTCCCGCAACAGCTGTCGATCCGAGGCTATCCCGTTTGCAGATTACATTTTATGATAGACGGAAACACGACCCTTCTACAAATACGGCCGTTTCATATAGGCTTCAGACCCAGCCATTAAGTACTTACAGAGCAAATTATTTCTACCACTCCTGGAAAAACGAACATCTGTTACCTAGACTGGTGTTTCACCCCTTGCTTAAAGATACCTCTATTACAAGCCGTGGAGGTCCATAGGGTTTTCAGAAGCCGAGGCTCCCACATTTTCTAGACAATCGCCTCACAGATGGCGGTGAGGTTCTCAGCCTTATGCGCCGGCCACCCTTTACTCCCAGGAAGATTCCTGGTACTCATTTATGTTATAGGCTGAGTCGACTCCAGGGCCATATTGCAGCTGGAAGGATTAGGTCAATTGAAAATTCTCATCGGGACTCGAACCCGCGACCTTCCGGCTTGTAGTATAACTCCTCAATCAACTACGCTACCATGTTCCCCTGCTTTACCCATTATGTATTATTGTTATTATATGATTACACGTATTTAATGACTCTTTGAACAATTAAATAACTCAGGCTCAAATCATAGGATGATTGTTGAATAAGGAACTGAAAGGACTGCGTAAGAATGTGGCTGTGGCCTATTGTGAGGTAATATCCAGATAATATCCTGCCATTTATCTGGATGTACTGAAGAAAATCACGAAAAACTCACGTGGAATAGCCAATCACCGAGGTCTAGGTATGAACCTGGGACATACCAGAGCACGAAGAGGAAGTGCTGGGGTCCTGGTGTCTGAATATAGGAAAGAGCAGCGTTTTCCCCCTTAGTCACCACTTCTAGTCTCTTCCTGGAGTCCACTCAGCCACTCTATACATGAGGCTGGAGGCCCAGTCTCTATCTACTGCCCAGGCCAATAATGCTTAGAATTTGTCGTCCGTCTCCTCATACATCTTCATACCATGGTCCCTATACAGAGTGAAGCATGTATCTTAATTTTACATGTGGATTATTTTATCGCACTCTCAGTGTCAGTACCGCCTCTGTGGCCCACTGGTCAGAGCTCCTGGCTACGGATCCAGAGGTCCGGGTTCGATTCCCGACGCTACCAGATTTTCCGAGAAGTAGTGAGTCTGGAACGGGGTCCATTCAGCCTAGTGAGGGTAATTGAGAAACTATTTCAAGGAAATAGCGGCTCCGGTCTAGAAAACCGAAATTAAAGGCCGTGGGGATTCGTTGTGCTGACCACGCGACATCCTCTATCCGCTAAAGTTGGCACTAACCGCCGACAAGCGGTGGTCGCTCAGTCGGTATAGTTCGCTTGCGGACTAAAACCACCGAGATTTTTTTGTTAGTGTCAGTAGCAGCATAATTGTTGAATAATGAGAATATAGGATTTGGAAGGAGGCGTTTATGGCCTAATCGACATCTTATACCAGAATCTGCCTGAAAGAACTGATTAAAATCCAGAGAAAACCTCAGTCAGAATTATTGTTACCCCGCCCGAGATTCGAACCGATGACCTCCCGAATATAAACCAATATCGTTTCATATACGCCAGCCCGCGATGTTGACGTACTGTTATTAGAACGAAGACTCCAAACACAGCTCACATCCAAAGGCAGAATAACTGAATTCCTCCTGCTTTATCGTATTGACTCTACTAGCAGCTACACAGTCACGACCACTGGCAATAACACAAACTGCTCATACCTGTACAGGTGTTAACGACAGTTATTCCCCCGGTGTCAGCAGAAGCAAGAGCAGTCATTTTACGTTGTTCAAGTAGGTCATGTGGTTTCCCGCTCCTCCTTAAGTAACTCAGTACTCGGGAAGTCACGTGTCAAAGCAGCGGAATATAAGAGAAAGGAAGTTGCAGGAGAAACCACATACGTGTATGAACAGCGAAGCCCACGACGAGATAACCGAACAACACGGCATCATGGCAAATGTGAAGAGCTGTATCCTCATCGGTATTATCGGTACGTATCGTACAAAGTTCTATAGACATATCCTGCTGATTTTGTCTGCTGCTTCATTTATCCATTCCGTTATAAGTTCACGTTACAGTTTCGAATGGTAAGATGACTGCTGAATAATGAATTAGAAAACAGAATAAGATTTGAAGTTTAGTAATGTAAAAAAAAAAGATAAAATTGTCCCTGTGCTTAAATAATTAAGCGCTACGGCATGAAGGCGTATGGGGGGGAATGGATATACGAGTATAGATACATATTTTCTTGACCTCGGCACTAGTTGGAGGTGACTTGTCAGCTTCACGCCCCGGCCGCTTTACCCATGAGGAAAGATCCCTCGGTACTCATTGGATAGGAGGCTGGGTGGGCCCCAGAACCGGTCTGGATGACATGAAGGAATGAAAATTCTTGCCCCTACCGGGACTCGAGCTCCGGCCCCTCAGTTATCCAGCCCGTAGCCAGTCGCTATACCGACTACGGTAGCCCGGTTCCCTTGAAGGTTAGTACTACTGTTATAAAGTTACTGTCCACATACAGGTAAAGTGTCATGGTTTCAAAATTCGGAATAAGTCTTTATAAAATACTTCACATTCTGCAGCTCCTAAAAGGCAACTCAGGATGAAAATGGGCAATAGAAAGAGAAAGTTTTCAGTAGCAGCTTCAGTAAAACACTGGACAAATTACGAAATTTCCAGTATTATCCATAGAATACTTAAAAACATAAAACTTAGGTAAAGAGATTTTGTATTAAAAATTGATAAGTTACATAGGAAAATGCCTGTTAATTTTTTTAGAAACCTATTTTGTCATAAATGTACGAGAAACAATGAGCCTGCAACAAGAGTAATAGTGTATTTTACCTTCAGGAAAATCATGTAATCCAAATCGTAGATCGGACTAAGTGTTGTTGCCCGTAAAATTGGGCCTCAATGCGTCATAAAAATGTTGATTTCAAATTACGCTCTTATGAAACAGGCCTATCTGAGTCTAACTGATGCAATCTTCAGATAATTCTGTTTACTTGTATATATCGATAAACAACTTAAAAACCTTTCCACAGATATTGCGCATACATTCTTATACAGCAGTGTTTCTCAACCGCCGGGCCGCGGCCCTGTACCAGGCTCCGACATCAATTATACCGGACCCTCGTCTTATAGAAAAAAGAATTTACCGGGCTGCGTTCTGACAAAGGTTGAGAACCACTGTCATACGCGACTGACCTTGACTACGTAACCTTGAAAGCGACATCAAATGTCGCTTGGTAAACCATTATTGGTTAATGAGCACCCAAACGGAACAAATTCGGTGGCTTTAGTCCGCAAGCGAACTATACCAACAGAGTGACCGCCACTTGTCGGCGAAGATAGTGCCAACTTTAGCGAATAGAGGGTATCGTGTGGTCAGCGCAACGAATCCTCACGGCCGTTAGTATCGGTTTTCTAGACGGCAGCCTCTATTTCCTTGAAATAGTTATCCTCACGAGGCTGTGTGAACCCCATTCCAGACCCACTAATTCTCAGAGAATCTGGTAACGCCAAGAGTTGAACCCGGACCTTTGGATATGTAGCCAGGAACTCTGACCACTAGATCACAGTGAGCATCCAACAACAACGAAATTTGTCAGAGCGGTAAAGCCGGTTTCGAGAAAACCGAAATTTCACCTTTGGTCCCTAGCTGCGCGCTATATTACTTATCGGACAGTACAGTCTAGGCAGGGTTATTCAAGGATATTCATTCATTCATTCATTCATTCATTCATTCATGATTGGTCTACAGCCCTTTGTTTGGCCCTGACCGTTTTTTTCAATTTCGTAATCCTATACATAACAGGACTCCTTGGACGGGAAATCAGACCGTCGCAAGGCCGCTAGATACACACAGAACAGCACAAACACAGAATAAATGCACACAGACATCCGTGTCTCGAGTGTAATTGGAACCCACTATTCCAGTGTTTGAGCGGGCGAAGACTGTTCATGCCTTAGACCGCGCGGCCACCGTGATCGGCGCTATTTAAGGATGTGGTTTCTACAAGCTACTGAAATTTAATCAAAATCATTTGGGTTGTTTTCAAGAACATCACCATTATTGTTTTGAGACACATCTGAACGGGACCTATTTTTGGAACCGAAAATTTCAGACTCGCCGTGCCCCTACCCGGGACGGAGAACCTCTTGAATACCGAATATGAACAGAATCCGCCCAACCGTTATGGCGCTGGCGAGGCGCATATCCGTCCAACCGTTAGGGCGCTGGCGAGGCGCATATCCGTCCAACCGTTAGGGCGCTGGCGAGGCGCATATCCGTCCAACCGTTAGGGCGCTGGCGAGGCGCATATCCGTCCAACCGTTAGGGCGCTGGCGAGGCGCATATCCGTCCAACCGTTAGGGCGCTGGCGAGGCGCATATCCGTCCAACCGTTAGGGCGCTGGCGAGGCGCATATCCGTCCAACCGTTAGGGCGCTGGCGAGGCGCATATCCGTCCAACCGTTAGGGCGCTGGCGAGGCGCATATCCGTCCAACCGTTAGGGCGCTGGCGAGGCGCATATCCGTCCAACCGTTAGGGCGCTGGCGAGGCGCATATCCGTCCAACCGTTAGGGCGCTGGCGAGGCGCATATCCGTCCAACCGTTAGGGCGCTGGCGAGGCGCATATCCGTCCAACCGTTAGGGCGCTGGCGAGGCGCATATCCGTCCAACCGTTAGGGCGCTGGCGAGGCGCATATCCGTCCAACCGTTAGGGCGCTGGCGAGGCGCATATCCGTCCAACCACGCACCAAACTAACCAACTGTGCATTCATCCATTCCGCTCCTACATAAATACGCACATGCAGTCGGCATACTAAACCCCATTTTTCAGTAATTAAGTGTAAAATCAGCTATCCCCTGTAACTGGCAGTGGAGGCCCATAGGTTTGTGAGGCGTCGAGACTCCCACATTTTCTCTAGACAATCGACTCAGAGATGGCGGTGAGGTTGTCAGCCTTACGCTCCTGCCGGCAGCATTTTACCCCCCAGTAAGATTCCAGGTACTCATTTCTGTCAGAGGCTGAGTCGACCCCAACGTCATAGTGCGACTGGAAGGATTAGGTCAACTGAAAAATCCAATGACCTCATGGGGAATCGAACCTGCGACATTCCGGTTTGTAGCGTCGTGCCCCAACCAACTACGCTACCGTAGTTAAAGGTAACTGCAAAAATGTAAATCCGTCAAAATCTAGAAATCCATTTTGTTTTTCACGATTAAAATTTTGGCTTGTATATTTTACGTACATGAGAAGTAAAAGAATTGCGTGCTTCATAGATCTTATACAGCGTCGGAAACATCTTTGAGGCTACGTTATCACGAGACAGTGACGTGGGTAACTATTCCTTCATTACAAAATTACCAAATTCCGCTTTCATTGTACGATGGAACAAAAATCACACAATATCTGAGTTCTCATTGAACAAACACACACTTTTATTTGGTAAAGTGGCGTTTCAAGGTACTACCTAACCCCATACATATTTTAGACAGACTTTCGCCATGGGTACATGCTGTAAGCGAAGAACAGACAGAAACCTTCGAAGTCATCATGGCTCCAAGTTTCTTAGAATGATGCCTGTGTAGCTTGCAATCTGTTTATTATTTCACGAATTTATAAAGCGAAATATCGAATATGTTCATATTAACTTCAAAACTGCATGTTCTCTCAGCACACACAGACGCCTTCCACTTCTATAGCAGCCCTTCTAGGCCGATGGGTCATGACATATGAGGATAAAGTCCGATTTATGTGTGTGTGACTTACAGACGCGGTATGTTTTGGTGAATGGATTTACTGACCACTTATACACACCACTCAGAACTACAACTAATTATAGCCCTATCACTAATCTCCACAAATTACAGTTGACTACAGCATCCGTTAAGCCTCCTTCCAGCCTGCTGCGTCTTAACCAGCCGTTCGCTGGCAATGGCTTCTAACAGTGGAGATTCTTCAGCTTCCCGCGCAGCCCTTCTAGGCCGATGGGTCATGAAATATGAGGATACAGTCCGATTTATGTGTGTGTGACTTATAGACGCGGTATGTTTTGGTGAATGGATTTACTGACCACTTATACACACCACTCGGAACTACAACTAATTACAGCCCTATCACTAATCTCCACAAATTACAGTTGACTACAGCATCAGCTAAGCCTCCTTCGAGCCTGCTGCGTCTTAACCAGCCGTTCGCTGGCAATGGCTTCTAACAGTGGAGATTCTTCAGCGTCCCGCGCTCAGGTCTTCTTGTCACAGCCTCCCGTGCAGAACTCTTGTCAGTTTTCTCAGACTGACATCCGAAAACTGCCAACTATCAACTCGACTAGAGTGCCATTGCTTATCAGCTTATGTGCAGAGCACAACTCTCGACTGCCAACCCTCAGCTCTCTATCTCAATCATTAACTCAGCTGGCCTAGGTCCTCGTCTTTTAACAGTCTTTTAACTGTCTTTTAACAGTTCCTCTATTGTTGTAGGCGTGTTTAAGGGTCCGTTACCTCAAACGGCCTTTGTTGATTCGCCTATTGCATACAAATGACTGTACTTGTTACAGTAATGTTGTATTTTAGCGTCCTGTTGCACTGATTTTCATCCATGATATGTATACAGTGGCCGTCTTGTAGTGCACTCAATTTCACCTGTTACTTCACGACAAGTTTTGGCAACATAGTGCCATCATCAGGTGCCCTAATTACGCTACTCTATTGCATTGTTTGCCCTCATGTGTCTTCACAACACCATTTAAGAAGGATTTAAAAAGTGCGTATATGTCAACTATAATAAATTTACACTCACTAAAACTTGTTAAGATTATTCATCTTATGTGTCTTAATTAAAACTTGCGTGTGGTTCATTCACTATGGGGTCGTTTTTCTTATTTTCTGTGTAAACCGTGTCTTGTGATGTGTGTTCCCTTCTTAGCTGCAAGTGTTACAGTTAAGTTTATATTCTCCCAAAATCTATAGGCCTCCACACAAACACGAAATTTCTTCCATTTATTCTGAACGTATATGACGGTGTTATGGACATCTAAATTGTCATAATTACCCTTAATTCCCAGAAGGTTTTAATTTCAACAATAACTATATTAAGGAACTTCTGGAACACTGTGCGTAAAACGTTCCCCAAAACGTGTCTGAAATATGTTTCAAGTCTTGTTATTCTTCACGGTCTAGGACTGACTATGATGTCGCCGGTTCTGGGAGCCGTCAGTTGCGACTCTTGCCCACAGTGCATCATCATCAGACCAATCTGCGCAACGTTTACATCACAGTACGCCACTAACAACCGCCGAAGCTTCCTCAGCGAGTGTCACATGCGCTGTTACAACAAATGCCATGGAACACGTGAGTTAATGCCTTTGTGACGACACTTCCATTCACTTGCTATTTATTAAGTCATCCGTTTAACCAATTAATTGTTCTCTTGTTTACTTTTTAGACTATTTGCCATATTCTGGCAAAATAAAACGGGATCTACGACAGCACCTTCCTGACTCTCTCTCTCCGTGTGACCCCTTAGTTTTTGTTATGAACCTTGTCAGGTTATCTTATTGACTGCGTGTCTGTGCATCCCCCAATCATTTTTGTTTTCTATGCAGTCCGTGTCATTTCAAAGGAAAGCTGTCGATTAGTTCGTCACAGATCTTGTTTAACTATCTATTAATATATTTACGTATTTATTTATTTACTCCTCTATTCATGTATTATTTTATGTACTTATTTATTTATAACAAATTATTCTGTTTATTTACTTATTTGTGTGCTTAGTTGGGCCGCCTCTGTGATCTAGTGGTCAGAGTTCCTCGCTACAGATCCAGATGTCCCGAGTTCGATTCCCGGCGCTACAAGTTTTTCTGAGAAATAGTGGATCTGGAACGGGGTCCACTTAGCCTCGTGAGGATAATTGAGGAGCTATTTCACGGAAATAGCGGCTCCGGTCTAGAAAACCGAGATTAACGGCCATCCGTTGCACTGACCACGCGACACCCTCAATCCGCTAAAGTTGGCACTAACTTCGCCGACAAGCGGCTGTCGCTCGGTCGGTATAGTTCGCTTGCGGACTAGAAGCCACGGAGTTTGTATTTTGTTTTCGTTTATGTGCTTAGCTGTGTTTGGCACGCAGTAGCGTAGTTGGTTGAGACACTACGCTACATGCTGGAACGCCACAGATCCGATTCCCCATGACGTCATTGGATTTTTCAGTTAACTCAATCCTTCCAGCCGCACTATGGCCCTGGGGTCGACTCAGCCTCTAACAGAATTGAGCACCATGAATCTTCCTGGGGGTAAAGGGCGGCCGACAGGCACATAAGACTGACGACCTCACTGTCATCTGCTAGCCGATTGTCTAGAAAATGTTGGAACCTCGACGCCTCACAAAGTTATGGGCCTCCACAGCCTGTTACAGGGATAGCTTTATTCAGTTACTTATTTCAATTCATTTTTAATTAATTCTCTTGTATAATGATTAGTTTATATACGTACAGTTATTCATTACATAAAGACAGAATGACTGGCTAAGAAACTGGAAAAGCTATGCAAGGAAGCGGCAATGGCTTATTTGAAGTATTATCTCCGCATCTGTTGGGGAGCCTGAAGAAAATCAGGAAAATTCTTGTACAGGATGACGGTCAAATAGCAAAGTATCTCCCGAGTGTGAAGCAAGGACACCACCCCCTTTCGACCGAGACGTCTGTTTCTGATGGCAATCATTCTCCTTCAGCATAGCACTAAGCACAAATATCAAACATGATCGAGCAAACTGGTAAAGATTCTAAATTGTATTCGAGACATTCTCGGTTCGAATCTTTACAGCGACATGGCTATCGCGACTGAGATTTTCCATGAAGTTCCTCAGTCCCTCCTTCCAGGAAAATTTTGTGAAATTATCTCAATTAGGCAACAATACCGTGCTTCCAAAACCTTCCGAATTCCTTATTCGTCATTCTACCATCCGACAGTATACAGAATGTCCCAGGAGGAGACTCAAACGAGTTGCACCGAGATAGAGCTATTTCACTGTACAGTACACAGTACACTATACAAATGAGCAACACGCCATGTCCTCACACGAGTTGCACCGAGATAGAGCTATTTGACTGTACTGTACACTGTACAGACGAGCAGCACGCCATGCCCTCACACGAGTTGCACCGAGATAGAGCTATTTCACTGTACAGTACACTGCACACTGCACAGACGAGCAGCACGCCATGCCCTCACACGAGTTGCACCGCGACAGAGC